ACAGTCTTGTCCTGAGAAGTCCCTGGAGCGGCCTCCCTCGGTGCTCTGCAGCCTGGGGAGGGAGGGACCCTGCAGCAGGCTCATGGAGGGCCTGGGCGCCGTCCAGGCTGCCTGACCGCCGTCCAGGCTGCCTGACCGCCCCCTGCTTTCCTCTGTATGCAGGGCATTCGATGGGGGCGGGGGACTGATTTCAGACAGGGCAGGGGGCTTCGGGGGAGAAAAGGGATCGAGCCCTGGACCCTTTCTCTCTCTCTTTTTCAAAAAATTATGGTAAAATGCAAGTAACATAAAGTCGCCTACCTTAACTACCTCTTAGTGTACGATTCAGTGACACTAATGTCATTCACAGTGTGTGACCATCCCCACTATTTCCAAGCCTTTTTTATAACCCCAGACAGAGACTTTGTACCCACTCATCAATAACTCCCCAGTTTTCTTCCCCTCAGTTCCTGGCGACCTCTGTTCTACTTCCGGTTTCTATGAATTTGCCTATTTTAGGTATTTCATATAAGGAGAATCATGCAGTACTTGCCCTTTTGTGTCTGCCTTATTTCTCTTCCACAGTGTTCTCAGGGTCCGTTCATATTGTAGCATCTACAGAACTTACTCCTTTTTAAGGCCAAATATGTGTATATTCTGTATGTGTATATTTCCCATTTTGATTATCTGTTTTTCCGAGGACTCCCTGTTGACACCTGGGTTATTTGTACCTTTTGGCTACTGTGAATAATGTTGCTGTGAACATTGGCATTCAAGTGTGTGTTTGAACTTGATACTTGAAAAAAGTATCCATGCTTTTCTTTCTTTTGGGTACACACTTGGGAATTGCAGGGTCCTATGTTTATTCTCTTTAACTTTTTGAAGAATTGCCAAATTCTTCCCCCTGTGATTTTGAGGGTCAGCGTCGCTAGAGTCGCTGTAACGGACTCAGATGGACCTCACAGGACAGAAGCATTACTCAGGGCCCCGCGGGCGATCTTGCTGGATCGCTGCCAGGCTTGGTCCCTGGGCCAAGAAGAACGGTCTCAAACCCAGATGCCTAGGGGCAGACGAGGCGGCACACAAGAGGCTAGCTGTGTCCCCAGTACCGAGGGCGGTGCTGCCTGGCCCCAGCCAGTTAGGGCATGTGGGAAAGTTTTCAGTTCTTTCAAAGCACCAGGAAATTTGATGTGAAATGTCCTGATTTTTAAGTGATAGTAACTAGTTCAAAATGGGTGGGCCAAATAAAACATGTCCCTGGGTTGATTTGTCCATTGGTGATGGTCGGCCTGCATGTGCGTTGGGACGGACTGGTTTCAGCAGTGTGTCCTTGAAGCTAGAAGCCCCTCCAGGTCCAGTCATTCTGGGGTGACCATGCTTGGGATCAGCAGCTGATCGCACTGGGGGAGCAGGAAGGCAGGGGCGGGGGGACCCGGGCTGGGCTGCAGTGCTGTCCACGGAGGGGTCTGTGCGGCCAGCGTCGGCCAGGCTGCCTGGAGGGGCTGGGACAGAAGCCTCTTCACAGGGCCCGTCCTCGGGTCAGGAGGGGCACAGCCATCCATCTCAGGCCCCGCCTGCCGCCGCTCAGAAGGAAAACCCGCCCGGAGGGTTGCCGCTGCCATGGGGCGATCCCGCCCTTCAAGGAGGGCAGTCCTGTTCTGGGAGGGGTACCCTCCTTCGATGACAGAGGCCCACTGTGCTGTGTGTCCTCCTCGTGCGTGTGAGGATCCCGAGTCAGGGCGCTGCAGGCTGCACGATACCGGTTTGTGCCTGCGGTGGTGAGAACGGGGCCTCTCGCGGGCGCCGATTACCCACTCCCGTTTCCTCCAGCGTGCAGCACTGGGAATGAGGCGCCCGTGGAGGAGCTTGTGTGCCTCGGCTTTGTGGTTTCATTTTCTGGTTCACGCTCTTCTGGTTGCCTAACTCCTTACAGTGTTATGACGAAGCCCAACTAATCTGATTATTGACAATGAGGCCCACGTGTCTCAGGGGTAGAAAACTTTTATAGGTTAAGATAAGTTGTTTGGTGTTTCTTGGGAAGAGGAAAACCGAAACATGCACAGAGGTGGTAACAGATATTCTGCATCCAGCACTGAGTCAGAGGTATGGCTTACATTTCACTGACTGAATCTCCTTACATGGATCCATGCAGCCCATGAGACAGGTGATGTGTGACCTGACTCTAGTGGGATGGGCCGTAGCATAGCGTATGTCACTGACCTTAGCTGCAGTCCCTGTAGCAGGTGTCACAATATGTTAATGATAGAGTAGAGTAGCCTCTTCTGTCTATTTGCACTAAATGTAAGTTTAAGCATTGATTTCTTTGGAAGTTGGGGTACTGGTGCTCTTTTGGACATTAGTGAATATAGGGTCTCATGAACTTGACTTTTCAGCGTTGCACTGAAAGCTTGTTGCTATTTCCCCTTAAAAAAATCAACTTTGGGTGTGATTTATATTCAAGAAAACGCACACGTTTCAGTGTGGCTTTGTGAACATGTGTGCCCCAAGTAGTCATCTTTGCAATCAAGATCTGTATCCATGTCACCTCCGGTATCCGACCACGTGCCAGCCTCGGCAGTCGCCGATCAGCTCGCTCTCCTTATAGAGCACGTTGGTCTTCTCTGGAATTTCATCTACATTGAATCATATGGTATATACTCTTCTGTGTCTTTCCACTTTTCTGTCTTTTTTATTTTAATCGTCATTATGTTTTTGAGATTCATTTGTGTTGCTGCATGTACGAGTAGTCCGTTCCTTTTTATTCATGCATCGTGCTCCGTTGTGTGGCTCTGCTGTGACTCACTTATCCACTCACCTTTTGGGGGACACTTGGGCCGCTGGCATTTCTTGGCTATTGTGAGTAAAGTTACTCTGACCATTCATGCACAAGTCTTTGTGTGGACATGTGTTTTCATTTTTCTTGGGTAAATGCCTAAGAATAGAATTTCTGGGTCATATGGCAAGTGTATGTTTAATTTGACAAGAAACTGCCAAACTGGTTTCCAAGCTCATTGTACCATTTTATATTCCCACCAAGAGTTCCAGTTACCTCACATCTTTGCCAACACTAGATACTGTCAGAATTCAAACTTTTAATTGTTCTCGTGGGTGTGTAGCGATATCTCTTAGTGGTTTTAATTTGTGTTTCCCTGGTGACAAACGATGCTGGGTCTTTTCTCGGGAACTCATGGGCCATCTGATGCTTTGTTTGTGTAGTCTCAGCACAAACCTTTTCACCGATGTCTCAGTTGAATTGTTTGTTTTCTCATAATTCTGTTTTAAGGATATAAGAATATTTTCTGGATATAAATCCTGTGCCAGATGCATGTATTGAGAGTTGTTTCTCTCAGTCTGTTGTTTGTCTTTTATTTTTCTTAACTTTGTCTCTGGAAGAGCAGCAATTCTTTATGTTCTTGATTTTTATGTAGTCCAGTTTGCCGGTTTTTTGTTTTTTTTTTTTTCTGGCCGACCTCTCTGCTAGAGCGTAGGCCCACCCTCACCTGTTCACCTGTGAGACATCGGCTCGTTGAAGATTCCCATTCGGTGAGATGTCTCACCTCCTGGTTTTCCTCTAATTGCTTCCTTCTGAAGCCGTTTAACTTGCTCCTCTGTCTTCTGTATTTCCTGCAAGATGGGAGTGAGTTTTAAAGTTTCCTTCATTGAATTTAGTTGAATGCAATTTTATCTTTGAAGCTGCTTCTCTGTAGTCACAGGGAGCTTGGGCCATACCCCTGATGTCAACAGAGGGATATGTTTTCTCTTTTGAGAGGCCTGGCTCTTGCATGAAGATGGCCCGGAGCCTGGATCTGCGTTTACTGTGACTGACAGATTTCAGTAGGATTGGTGCAGGCCTCTGGGGATGGGGACTCCCCCAACCCCATGCAAGCTCCCCGATATTCCACCCTAGAAGGAGGCCTCTGAGCCCTCCGGGGTCCGAGAGGAAGTTTCAGCCTCCAGGGCAGCTCCAAGACTCCCTGTGGCTTCAGGGGTAGCATCAGGGCTCTTTTCCAGGTTAAATAGGTTCAGCCTTCCCCTGCCTGGACCCGCATGTGGGACAAAGAGACAGCAACCTATGGGCACCCCGTTATTTTCCTGGTGTGAAAAGGTGCTTCTCTGTTGTCTGTGGCTCACCAGTGGCTTAGTGACAGAGGAAGTGGAGGTCCTCTGGGGACCAAAAGCCAATGCTCTATGTATCTTAGTGCGTTGTCTTCCATGACGGCTTTCACTGGGGTTTTATATTTTCTCCCAGACAGGATAATGAATTTCCTTGTGGGCAAAGTATAAAGATACAAGTTTTCTGTAAAATGCACAGAGGGGACTTCAGAGAATAGGATAAAAAGTTTAATAATGAACCTTTGCAATCAAGATCTGTATCCATGTCACCCCCAGTATCCGACCGCGTGCCAGCCTCGGCAGTCGCCGATCAGCTCGCTCTCCTTACAGAGCACGTTGGTCTTCTCTGGAATTTCATCTACAGTGAATCATACGGTATATACTCTTCTGTGTCTTTCCACTTTTCTGTCTTTTTTATTTTAATCGTCATTATGTTTTTGAGATTCAAAACATAATTTATTTCCTTGGATCCTGATTTCTGAACAGGTTATTTTTATAGTATAAGCATACTTAGCATATTTATTGTCTATCGTATAACAGTTTAAATGCTCAGAGTACACAAATCAAGTTTGTTTGTGTTTTTAGAGAAGGGGAAGGGGGAGAGAAAGAGAGGGAGAGAAACATTAATGTGAGAGAGAAGCATTGACGAGTTGCCTCCCACGTGCACCCGGATCAGGGACCAAACCCGCAACCCAGGCCTGTGCCCGGATCAGAAATTGAACTGGTAACCTTTCGCTTTGCGGAACAACGCCCCGCCCACTGAGCTGCACTGGTCAGGGCAAATCTAGCTTTAATTGGTCACGATTTAGGAAGTACTTATATTACCTAAATGATATTTTAAGGAAAAGCCCCCATCATCCAACATAATGCTGAATTATGACCTTTCCGTTTCTTTCTTTATGACTCAGGAAATCTGGGACCCTCTTATGCAGTGGCTGGGGAAACATGTGGATCCTGGGGGAGTAGTGACATCCAGCAAGCTCTCCCTCAAGTTTGTCCCATCCTACACGCCTGACATGGAAGTCACGCCAACTGCTCTACCTGTGGTGACCAACATGACGGCCTTCTCGTCCGAACACTTTAACTTAGAGATCTACCGACAAAACCTGCAGACAAAGCAACTTGGAAGAGTAATTCTGTTTGCTGAAGTGGCATCCACCACCATGGATCTCCTGGACGGGTGAGTTGTGGGCCTGCGCAGATGAGTCCAGTTGTGTGGAAGGTTCTCTCTAATAGTCCTGGGGAGAAGGGACAGACACATGGCCCAGCAACTCTTCATAAACTCACTGGCAAGGTAGGCACGCCCTGGTCCCAGGAGAGTTCAAGTGTAGGAAGAGAACTTCAGTGAAGTTCCTTGATCAAAGGTTTGTGTTTTAAAGAACGGGCGGTTTTTGTGCCTGTGACTCTTTTTAAAACCAGGCCTTTCAGTATGTCCTGGGGAAAAAAGAACATTATGAAAAGACACGTTTAACAGGTGGCATTGTTGTTCAAGTTATCGTTTTACTTTTGTGTTGTTAGAACCAGCGTTAAACATTTAGTTTAAATTATTTTGCAGGGGCGTCAGGCTAGCAGATTTGAACGACGCATAAGCTGGGTTCAATTGGAATAAAGTAGAGCTTTGTACTTGAAAACCTGTTTTGGTCTGTTCCCATCCAAGACATTTTTTGAGCACTCTGTAATCCCATGTGGATGTTCGAAATGTACTCTTATTGAAAATTTTCCTTTTTATTCCTTCTGTTTCCTGGACTTTGATTAAAGGTTAAAAAATGGAAAACAGATGAAAGGAATTTTTTAACTCCCAAATTAGTCAGTATTAATTAATATTCTTATTCTGAGGTAGTTTAGAAAGTAGGATTATAGAGGGAGTGAATAAGAAAGCATCTTCCCTCAACATGGGACTAAAATTTAAGGAATGTAAGATTCTGCCCCTGCAAAACTCATATTCACAGTTTCTAGGCACTTTCCCCAGTTAGATTGCATAGTGAGATGCATAATTCAACCTATGGAACATATGGAAATATTTTGGCCTTTCTTCCTAATAATAATTTCTGGAGTTTGATAGCATGTTGATATCAAATGATAACTTTAGGACTCCTTGATGCTCACACTGGAAGTCATGGGAGGGCCGCCGCAGGGTGCGCAGAGGACGGGGAACAGCGTTCGCATGGGGACTGGGCAGAGTGAGGGGAGGGGCAGCAGGACGGGGCTGGGAGCCCCGGTGACCTCAGCTCTTGTTGCCCGGGCTGTTCTGTGCTGTCATCGGCACTTCCCTCCCCCGTGCTCCTGGCCTGGCCTGCCTCCACTCCCCTCCCGCCCGCCACCGGCGCCCCGGTCTTGCAGGTGAAACAGTCATCATGTGCTGGTTTAACCCTACAATAATCTTTTGTCACTCAGCCGACCACTCTATTATATCGAGAGGGTGACCCATTATCATTACATTTTCTAAATGAAAAAAAAAATCAAGACATGACATTTCACACAAGATTTGTGGAGGTGAAAGGCAAATAGAAGAAAAGCGGGCACCGTCGGGCCATTTTTGCTACCTCTGTGGGCCTAAGTGAAGGCTGTTGTATGGGGATGATCTTGAAACACTGGTTTCTGAGCTTGAGCCTGTGCAGTGGGAGCGCTGCCAAGCAGCCCACGAGCGGCCTGCTCGCGGGGGCGGCCCGGGCCCCCGTGGCACCAGGTGTGTGGGCTTCCTCCCACCGCGGGGAGCCTGGGTTTAGGATGGAAAAACGTGGCATGCAAATGCACGGCTTTAGTGCCCTTGACTATCCGTCAGCTCCTTTTTGATGCTGACCTTTTTATAAAAATTCTGTCTCATGCAGCGTGGGTCTGTAAAAGTACATAGCTGAGCTTGATGACAGTAGCGTTGGAATCTTCTGTCGGATCAGGCGTTTCTATTTTTACCACAGAAAACTATTCTCACTTTTCCGAGGGCATTTAGGAATCTTCTTTGTTCCTCTCCTTGCCTGGCCTTGGTAGAGCGCAGAGTAAGACGGCTTTGATGAGGCACAGAGCAGACACTGAGTGAGCGGTGGTGGTCATCGTGACTTATCGTCGCCCGCCTCTGCGTCTGCGCACAGGGGCTCCTTCCCGCGCTGGGACACTGAGACACTGGCTCACGGCGGCCTGCCGAGTGCGCGAGCCTGCTGAGGGGCTCCTGGGGTCCTGGGGCCTTTTCTAAGAGAAGGAACTTGAAGAGGTCACCTTAGTGCCAAAATGACCTAAAATTGTCCACAAAGGGGCCGCGAGATAAAGCAAACATATGACTTACTACTTTCTCAGCATAAGACCAAAACCATTTTTATAGCTAATATTATATTTGATCCTACCTAAGCTGTCCTTTTGGAAACACAGTATTGTGGTAATAATAACAATCATAGCCAATGCATATTGAAAGCTTTTATCTTCCAGACGCTGCTTTTAGGTACTTCACACATATTGACTTACTTCATACCGTCGTCTTTCGTTGCCTAGGGTCATTCATCGCAGGAACAGGGCCAGATTCTATTGTCAGAGCAGCGTGTGGACGTGTTCCTGTTTCTGAATGTTTATCATGATTACGTGGTCCATCACCTCAGCGGGTCAGCTAGGCAGGGCGGGAAGGGCTTTCTAAACCGTGGACTGGATGTGCTTCATACTCCGCGTTGCTGTAGCTGAAATGGCGACCCTCGAATCCCCCTGGGCAGGGAGGCCAAAGGGGAGACTCCTCACACTGGCGGTGGGTAAGTGTCCTGGGGGTCTGTCCATCCAGCAGTCCGAGTCCTGCTCACTGTTGTTTCTTGCCCAGTGCCCTTTGGGCTTGGCTTTGCCTCTTTGGGGGGAGGGGAGTTTTAACCGCACCACCTCTAAGATGAACATTGGAAGGGATGGGCTTTTCCGGCTCTCCTCAAGAGGGGTTGGAGTCTGGGGATTGTTTTGAGGGTGAACAAGCATGGCTGTTTACAGCCTCTGGTTTCTGGGGCGATAGAAGTGTTTCAGAACTTCAGTGGGCCTCTTCTGGCCTGTTCGCTTCCAATCGTCCCATGTGAATAACCATCAGAGACCTTGTCTGGACAGAGTGCTCTGCAGCCGCCCCTCCCCCAGTCTGACGGCGGCTCCCTTGGGCTGAAGGACGCGCTGGGCTTGAGTGGAAGGCCGGCCCGTCCTCCCGTCCCTGGCGTGAGGCTCCTAGCCGTGTGTGGTGAGGCATCTGTCTCTTCACTGGCTGAGGCTGCAGGGACAGACCGGTATGCTCCAGCTTAGGTGCCAACAGGGAGCCCCTCTCTTATCAAACCTCTGTTCTTTTCCACCTTCTAAGACTCGTTAGCTCGGGTGGAGGTTGTTCGTCTTTCATTGAATTTTGCTTAGAGCATCAAGGACTGACAAACACTGCCCTTTGAATTTTTGGAGCTATTTCCTATAATAATACAGCTTCCATCAGACACCTGCTAAGCTGCAGACACCTCCCAGGCTACAGAGGGCAGGCTGCATGACAGCAGCGGTCGTCAGCGGTGAACCTGTGACGCCTGTGTCCTCGCCGCCTGTCCCTCCCAGACGCTCCATTCAGGCTGCAGTCCTAGGCCTTGTTTCTTGTGGCTTACTGATTCTGTGCGCAAGACCCAAACCCCGTTCAGGGACCAGTTTCTAGGCCAGTGACGATCAGGGTCAGCTTGGAGAGAGGTCCCCAAATGGAAGTGGCTTAAGCAGGGTGGACTGAGATGGGCGGCCCTGGGCCAGTGTGTGGCCCACAGTGTTAGGGACCCAGTTGGGTTGTTCTCTCACCCTCAGCAGATCCAAGAGGCGACCTGAGCATGTGTGCTCCCATTTTAGCCAGTAAGCAGGAGGGAGCAGGTAAAGAAGGACGTGGTTCCATTCTTTACAGACTCTTTCCCATAGTTAGTTGCATGCAAATAGCCATTAAAATCTTGCCTGGACAGAGTTTTCCAGAAGTGGCTCATGACATTTTTGTCTGTATCCCAGGGCCAGGACCTATGGTAACATGACCACATCTAGTAGCTACAGAGAAGGCTAGGAAATGAGTGTGGTCTTTATACTCAGTGTCCACGAAGCCGTAAACCCCGGGCTCCGGTCCTAAGGAGGAGAGGAGGGTGGATGCTGGAGGACGGTTAGAAGTCCTTGTCACGGACAGTTGCCTGATGATAAACGGAGTAGCAGTAGCCTTTACGGTAGCCCCGGTGCCTGTAGGACTAGAAATCAGAGGTGGAGACAACTGTTTGAGGGGTGGCTCTAGTTTTGTTTTACTGCTTCCTCAGTGTCATTGGAAGCGTTTTTCTTATGTTAACGTAAATCTAGGAGGATGTGGAAATTTGTCTTTGGACAAGTATTTTGGAGGGCACGGTATTTCCTTCAGTGAATGCAAACCCAGCCACGCCGTTGCGGCCGGGAGTGCTCGCGCTCGCTGTCTGGGTGTGGGCGCTGGCTGGGTGGCCATGAGGTCCGTGAGGTCAGTGAGGTTGTGGGCTGATCGCCTTCAGCCCCGCCCTGCCCCGCGGACAGTGCTGCTGCATCTGTGCCGTGGCAGATGGGTCAGGGTTCTGGGCGGGGCCTGGAGCACAGGGAGATGTGGGTGTCGCCTGCTGAAAACTAAATCAAGGCAAATTGGAGGGCCTGTGCCCCCCAAATAAAAGTGAAGGCCATGTGAGTGGCGTTTCCCCAGTAGTCTGACTTGGCTGTGCCCCCCCGCCCCACAGTCTGGTGAGAAGAGGTAACTTCGCCCTGTGTCCCTTCTCTGCTCATTTCCTTTGACATATATGGCTGACCATGAACTGCATTGTCTGCCCTATTGCAGGGGTAACACTGTTTGGGTGCGATTCTGATTTTGGTTGTCTTTAGATGCTTTGCTTTTCCTTTCCATGCTGTTTCCTGGTAGGGTTCCCTGTGGCCTGTTAGCTCAGCTGGTTGGATGGGATCCCATGGGTATGGGTGCAGTGCTGTGTCTGAGCCCGTGGACTGGACTGTGGTCCACAGTGATGTCCTCCAGCTGCAGACCCAGAAAGCCACGCACCCATGTGAGGCAGGGGTGAGGGTGGGCTCTAGACAGGGGTGTGGATGGGTCCCCTCGGGGAAGCGCCTCCAGGTGCCCACCCTGCCCCGGTGTGGCCAGGACCACGTGCCCCCGTTCAGTCTCCAGTGAGCGCTGACCAGCCCTGTGCTGTGAGGAGGGCGTTCGGCTGG